ATGTTCTACAAGCCATCTATATTGTTAGTTTTTTGTTAATTTATTATTATTATTATTTTTGGTTTCCTTATTCTGTCAGAATTAGGGAGATGAGGGTTTAAGTATTTAAATACATTTGTGAATTAGTCTAATTCTCTTTTCAGTTCTATCAGTTTTTACTTTACATATTTTGAAGTTCTGTTATTAGGGACATACTCATTTAGGATTGTTGTTTCCCTGATGAACTGACTCCTTTTTCATTATATAACATCCCTCTTTTTCCCTAATAGACAACATGTAATTGGGTGTTACTTTTACAATCCAATCTTATTTTCCCCAACTTTTATTTAGAATGATTTGATCATGTACATTAAACAATTTTATATGATTGGGTTACTCTCTACTTACTAACTTGCTATTTGTTTTCTATTTGACTTACATGTTCCTTGCCTTTATTTTCCTGTTTCTTATGCTCTTTGAGGCTTGATTATTTTTCAGTATTCAATATCTCCACTGTTGGCTTATTAATTACACGTGTTTGTTTTATATTTTCAGTGGTTACTCTAGGGTTTACAATATACATCATTAACTTTTCCTAGTCTATCTTCAAACAATATTAAACTACTGTATGATGTCAGAATCTTACAATAGTGTAATGCTGTTTTTCTCTTCCATTGTTTATGCTATTTTCTTAATATATTTTACATAATACGTGTTATAAGCCATATATTTCCTAATTACTATTTTTTTTTAAAATATATTTTATTGATTTTTTACAGAGAAGAAGGGAGAGGGATAGAGAGTTAGAAACATCAATGAGAGAAATCGATCAGCTGCCTCCTGCACACCCCAAGGGATGTGCCCGCAACCAAGGCACATGCCCTTGACCGGAATCGAACCTGGGACCCTTCAGTCCGTAGGCCGATGCTCTATCCATTGAGCCAAACCGGTTTGGCGCTAATTACTATTTTTGCCTTAAAGAGACATTACCTTTAATAGGGATTACAAATCATAAAAATAGTCTTTTTGTTTTTGTATTTACTGATGTTTTTTCTAGTTCTAAAGTTCTCTTTCTTTGTCCTAAATTTCTATCTAGTAACTTATTACTTTTGCCTAAAGAAATTTCTTTTATATTTTCTGTAGTGCAGGTTTGCTGGCAGTGACTTTTCTCAGCTCTTGCTTGTCTGGTAACATCTATTTGCCTGTGTTTCTGAAATGTTTTGGCTGAGTTTTGAATTCTAGATTGACAGTTTCCATCCCATTTAAAGATGTTGCGTTATTACTGTTTAGCTTACATAGTTTCTGAAGAGATGTCTTTTGGCATTCTGATCTTTTTTCCTCCATGTATGTTTCTCTCTTTCTCTGGCTGCATTCAGAATTTTTTTTTTTAGCTTTGATTTTCAGCAATTTGGCTGTGATATGCATAAGTGTGCGATTTGTGATTACATTGCTTGGGATTCTCTAAGCTTCAATAGATCTATGGTATATTGTTCTTCCTAACTCTTCATAAGTTTACAACCATTATCTTTTAAAATTTCTTCTGTCCCCTTTTTCTCTTTCTTCCCCTTCTCGACTACATTAGTATATTAGTCTGCTTGATATTGTTCATAGATCCTGATGCTAGGCAAATGGCCGCATTCCCCCCTTTAGTTTTCAGTTTGAATAATTTCTATTGATCTATCCTCAAGTTTACTAATTCTCCATACTGTGTTCAGTGTTTTGTAAGCTCAATGAAATAATTAATTTTTGATATAAAATTACCTCTGTAATATTTTCTTATCACTTCCCATATCACTCTTTGCTGAATTTGTGTTGATGAATGTTATCTGATTTTTTCTTTAGATTCTTTTAAATTTTAATTAAAGTCTCCAATTATTTTGAAGTCTCCATTTGATACTTCCAACATTTCTGTCATCTCAAGGTCCAATTATGTTGATGGCTTTATCTTTTGACAATAGGTAACTTTTTGTTTTGTTTTTGTGGTTTGTAATTTTTAATCTACTGGATGCCGTTATATATAAAACATCAGTGGAGATGAGATTAGTAATTATTATGTAAGAAATGGACATGCCTCTTAGTCTGCGTGTTGTTAGTGTCCATGAAGGGGTGGCGGTGGGTCAATTTGGTCAGTAGATGTGCTGAGTTATTGATTTCTTGTTGCTATTGAATTGACAATTCACTAGAGACTTCAAATTCTCTCAGGAATGTATTGCTTTTACCTACCTTGTGACTTCTGCAAGACCTGGAGTGTTACAGAGCTTTTCTTCTCAATGTTCCTGTTATACCCTCAACATTCAGCCAGCCTTCAACTCCATTGACACAGGGGCCTCTTTCTGTGCTATTGTCTCTATTCCAATCTGGGTGGAGTTGTGGATGGGGAGTGGGTGGGTTGTAGCTCCCTTACCCCCACCTGCAGTCTTAGGCAGGCCTGGTGTACTTAAACCTGAATTGGAACTTTATCAAGACGCCTGTCCCTTCTTCTGGTAGCTAGACCTCTGCCTCTTATCAGTGGCAGGCTTTTGTTCCAGGGTGTTTTCTTTCCCTCCATCAGTATGGCCAACCTCCTTTTTATGTCACTACAGAATTCTGGGCCTAAGTGACTTTCCTGCCTTCCTACAGGAGCAGGTGAGTTTTTCCTAGTGTTCTGTGCAGGTTCCGATGTGTGTGATTCCTATTGCTCTATTATTTAAACCTGGGGAAAAGCTTAGACAGAGGGCCTCCCTTTCTCCTTTCCTCCCTCCCTCCCTCCCTTCCCCATAAGAGCAGATATCATTTTGTTTCCTCTACCAGTAATCTGCCTTTGCCTGGATAGGGCATGAGTATTTACTGTCCCTGTCCCTGCGGCAGACAGCTTTTGCTTCCTTTGATAGTGGAGTCTGGGTTGTTAGCTAATTCCTACCTGTATGTCAGCACTTCTAAGGGGGCGTTTTTTTGGCTTCCTGTTCTTTTTTTTTTTTAATTTTAATTTTCAATTTTATAGTCTTTGTCTTAGCACTTGGGAGGGGAGGCTTGTGCAAAAGCAGAGGAGTAGGTGAGTGGCTGTGGAATGTCCTGTGTCTCCTGGGATACTAAGTGACTTTGCTAGCCCACATTCAGCTTTTAAGAATTTGTTAAAATGGTAGTGTTTTTTTTTTTATCTGCTTAAAATTTCAAAAAATTTCATTGCAGTAAAAACCACCTAACAAAAATTTACTATCTTATCATTAAACCTGCAGTTCATTAATGTCAGCTATATTCATATTGTTTGTAACAGATCTTGAACTTTTTCACCTTGTAAAACTGAAACTCTACTCATTGAACAACTCCATTTCTCTCTCCCCTGAGCCTCTGGCAGTCACCATTGTGCTTTCTGTTTCTTATTTGCCTTTATGTTGCTTCACTCTTTCTCCATGATCATGGCCAAAAGCAACGTCCTATTTCTCTGTAAAGAGGCTTGTTACCCACTAGATCACCTGATTGCCTTGTCACTTCAACTCTTTGGTTTCATTTTATATATATATATATATATATATATATACACACACACACACACACACATATATATATATATGATTTTATAGGGTATTCATTCTATATAATAAAAGGCTAATATTCAAATTGACCGAACTGCGGAACAACCGGTTGCTATGACGCGCACTGACCACCAGGGGCAGATGCTCAACACAGGAGCTGCCCCCTGGTGGTCACTGCGCTTCCACAGGGGGAGTGCTGCTCAGCCAGAAGCCCTGAGCTGGGCTCATGCTGGCGAGCTCCTGGCAGGAGCCTCTCCTGCCTCCATGGCACTTAGACATCCCCCGAGGGCTCCAGGACTGTCCGAGTGCACAGATTTTGTTCACTAGGCCTCTAGTCTTATATAAGTATTTTCTTACCTGTTAGCTTAAATGTGCTTAGATTTCTTTTTTTTTTTTATAATACTAGTTAAATTTTATATATTTATTTATTCTTTTACCATCTACTGTTAATCAGTTCCTACTTTAGGTGACTATTATAAAGCATTGTATTGGAGAGATTTGGTTTTTTTTGTTTATATTTTTTATGTTTTGTTTTTGCTTTTGTTAATCCTCACCTGAGGATATTTTTTCCATTGGTTTTTAGGGAGAGTGGAAGAGAGAGGGAAAGACAGAGAGAAACATCAATGTGAGAGAAATATATCGATTGGTTGCCTCTTGCACATGCCCTGACCAGGGCCCAGGCCAGGAAGGAGCCTGCAGTGAAGGTATGTGCCCTTGACCAGAATTGAACCTGGGACCCTTTGGTCCACAGACTGATGCTCTATCTACTGAGTCAAACCGGCTAGGGCTGGAGAGATTTGTTGATATTGAACTATCCTTGCATTAAGAAAGACCTCTTGCTTTTTCATAATTTATTATTCATGTATAACTTTGCTTGATCCTTTGATAAAATTGGAATGATATTTAGAATACATACATCTGGGGTCACAGGTGGTATTGGGCTATAATATTTTTCTTGGTGTTGAATCAGATTTTTTTTTTTTTTAGAATAACAAAAAATATTTTACTAAAACATAAGATTTACAGAAGTTTCCAGACAAGCCATACAAATGGTCACAAGCTTTTCTTGAAGGGGGAATTCTACATCTGACAGCAAAGTCACAATGTTATTTGTGAGGGCCATGGTGTTTGTTTAATGTTCCCATTTTGGTTCAAACAATCAAGCTTGTCCACCTACAGCGTCTAAATGAAGTTAGACTTGGCTAGAGAGCATATTCTAAAGAACTGGTTAGCTGCATTTAACCAATGCAATTAGATCACCATAAAAAGGGGGGAAGGAGCCCATAAAATTAAAATTAAACTACTTACCCCCTCAAAAAAAAGAAAACACCCACACCCCGGCAGCTAACCCTGACAACTACCTTCATTCACAGTGCTTTATACTTAAACCATGATGGGGAGAAATGAATAAAAGCAGAGAGGGGTCACTGCTTTTAAACGTTTCACAACAGTCCAGATGGTACTTCTAGCCTCTGCTCATGCTTTATAACAGTGAATCAGGACAAGACATAGATTTGCTAATGTGCATTTAATCACCAAAGGACTGAAGATGTCTGGGCTTTTATTCTGTAATGTTTCTAAGACTGTGTCCATTAAATGCAAACAAAAAAGGAAGAAGTCTTGGCAGAACAGGAGAAGTGATGCACACCTGATGATGAGATCGATTTAAATATTATTCATGGCATATAGCCTAGTCCATGCTCTAGCTGTTTCTATGGCTTGGGCTTCGTTGATCTTCCATTGCTCCGCTACATCATTTGCTAATGGGTCATCTGGATTAGGAGCACTTAACAAAGCCTGGATCGATAGCAGAACTGTGCGAATCTGCAGTGCTGGGGACCACTTATCTTTCAAAATATCTAAACATATTCTTCCCAACTTGTCTACATTAGGATGATAAATTTTGGTCATGAAACGTACTTTAGGTGCTGCCATTGGGTATTCTTCTGGAAGGAATAGTTCAAGTTTAAAAGTCCCTCCCTCAAAGGAGGAATCCTGGGGGCCAGCAATGACCACATGAAAATAACGGGCGTTGCTCTCATCTGGTTCTGCTTTAATGCCGGGTACTGGTTCTGCCAGCAAACGCTGGGTTTCCTTGATAATCCTGCGGGGCAGCCCGGCCATCTTGTCAGATCCCAAGTTCCGAATCAGATTTTTTAATAAACATATTGGTAGATGTATAAGTTAATTTAGAAAGTATATATCTTTTTTCATGATCTTAATTGGAACTGTCCATTGAAGGCTAATACTCAGGTATGAATACTCCATTGGACCGTGATCACACACAATGGCAGATAATCTTTTTTTCCAATTTCCACTCTGTATTTGTTCACTAAAGTTTTCATTTTTTATATCAAGTTTTGGCTGGGATATTGCCCATTTGCTTCAGATATTTTAAATGTTTTGTTGAGGTAGAATCAAAATATAGCATTACATTGGTTTTCAATGTACAACATAATGATTTGATATATGTACGTATTGCAAAATGATTTCTGCATCAAGTTTAGTTAATATCCATTACTACACATAGTTACAGTAGTTTCTTTTCTTATTTATTCTCTTAGCAGCTTTCATATATACAATATAAGATTGTTAACTCTAGTCTCTAAGCTATACATTACAAGCCAGAACTTATGGCAACCACCAAATATCTATATCTCTGATCTCTGTATCTTTCTATCTCCCCATTTGCTTTATAGTTGTAAACTTGTCTCAGGATGACATGTAGTATTCTCTAATATGTAATTATATTTCTACTGTAACACATATGAAACTTCTTTCTTATTCCTAGTAATAGTATTTACTATATATTCTACAAGTTGTTTGGCTATTTTATTTATTATTTTTTCATAAAAAAGCTTTTGGATTTTAAAAATTTATCTGTTTTGGTTTTTCCTTGTTTCTCTTTCATGACTTTTAGCTTACATTTTTTCAGTTCTCTATTCTCTTTTTTTCCCTTAATTCTTTCAAAAAAATCTCCTTTGACTATGACATCTTTGAAGTTAGAAGTATTGTTCTGCTATGTCCTTTACTATATTCTGTGTGTTTTTGTGGAGGAATTATTCTCCTTTTCATTGTTTATAATTTTTATAATTTTACTTCATAATTTTATTGTGATTTAGTTTGTAACTATTGATTTCTTTTTCAAATCAAAGATTTCTAGGAATGTGTTTTTAAATTTCTGAGTGTTAACTATTTTAGGACTTTAATTTTGTATTTACATTTATTTTTTATTTTTATTTTTAAACATTTACCTTTTATTATTGAAAGTATACAGATGGCCCCCTTTCGCCCCCTTATTGACCCCCCTCCCCACACCCCCAGCTTCCATCCCCCTTCCCAGACCTTCACTGAACTATTGTTTGTGCATGGGTTACATATATATGCATACAAGTTCTTTGATTAATCTCTCCCCACTTCCCGCCCTCCCTCTGAAATGTATCAGTCAGTTGCATGCCTCAATGTCTCTGGATCTATTTTGTCAGTTTATTTTGTTTGTTAGATTCCACATATAAGTGAGATCAAGTGATACTTGTCTTTCTGTGACTGGCTTATTTCATTTAGCATAATACTGTACAGGTCCCTCCATGCTGTCTAAGAGGGTAAGAAATCATTTTTTTACAGCTGCATAGTATCCCATTGTGTAAAAGGGACCCCCCCTGTATGGGATAGTATATTTGCCAATGATACATCTGATAAGGAGTTAATTTCCAAAATATAGAAAGTACTAATACAACTCAACAAAAGGAAGACAATCAATCCAATTAAAAAATGGGCAAAGTACCTGAATAAACACTTCTCCAAAGAGGACATACAAATGTCCAAGAGACATATGAAAAAAATGCTCAACACCATTCATTATCAGGTAGATATAAAATAAAATGACAATGAGGTACCACCTCACACCTTCCAGAATGGCTACCATCAATAAATTAACAAACAAGTGCTGGCCAAAATGTGGAGAAAAAGGAACCCTCGTACATTGCTAGTGGGAATGCAGACTATGAAAAACACTATGAAAAACAATGTGGAGTTTCCTCAAAAAATTAAAAATGGAACTGCCATTTGACCCAGTGATCCCACTTCTAGGAATATATCCTAAAAAGCCTGAAACACCAATCAGAAAGAATATGTGCACCCCTATGTTCATTGCAGCATTATTTATAGTAGCTAAGATCTGGAAACAACCCAAGTGCCCATCAATAGATTAATGGATGCTTTTGTATTTACATTTGAATTTTGATTTATATTCAGAGACAGTAACTTGTGAAACATTTTTTTAAGATTTTTTAAAATATATTTTATTGATTTTTTACAGAGAGGAAGGGAGAGGGATAGAGAGTTAGAAACATCGATGAGAGAGAAACATCGATCAGCTGCCTCCTGCACACTCCCCATTGGGGATGTGCCTGCAACCAAGGTACATGCCCTTGACCGGAATTGAACCTGGGACCTTTCAGTCTGCAGGCCGACGCTCTATCCACTGAGCCAAACTGGTTAGGGCTTGTAAAACATTTTAATGTTTAAATCACTGACTTTTATATCAAAACGTATGGTTTATTTTTATAAGTGTTCTGTAGATTTTTGAATAAAGTATTTTCTCTATTGAGGTATGTGATATTTTTAATCTCTTAAGTTGAGTTTATTGATAGTTTTAAATTATTTTATGTAGTAACCTTTTTTTTTCTGTTAAGTTTGGCTAATTTAAAAAGTGGTATGTTGAGTTCTGCATTCTAATCATATTTTTATATATTTTAAAATTTAATTTTAGTTACATTAAAATTGCATAATGTAAGTCTCATAAAATTTACTATCTTAACCATTTTAAGCCTACAGCTCAATAGTGTTAAGTATTTTCACATTGTTGTGTCACAGATCTCCAGAACATTTTCATCTTGCAAAACTGAAACTCTGTACCTATTAATCTCCCCATTCCCTTCCCCCATCCCCTGGCGTCCACCATTCTACTTTCTGTTTCCATGAGTTTGACTGTTTTAGATACCTCACATAAATAGGATCATGTCTTGCCTTTTTGTGACTGGCTTATTTCACTTAGTAAAATGTCTTCAAAGTGCATCCATGTTGTAGCATGTGTCAAGATTTCCTTCTTTTTAAGGATAATGGCACATTGTACAAATGTTACTCTAGTCCCTATTTTAAATATTTTTAGTATATAACCAGAAATGGACTCTCTGTATATTGAAGTAATTCTCTGTTTAATTTTTTGAGGAATTGCTGTATTGTTCGCCACAGCAACTGTACCATTTTGCATTCCTACTGGCAATTTACAAGGATTTCAATTTCTCTATATCCTTGCTAATGCCTGTTATTTTCTTGATTTTTAAAAAAGTAATAGCCGTTCTAATGAGTGTGGAATGGTATTTCACTTTGGTTTTGATTTGTATTTTCCTAATAATTAGTGATGTTGAGCATCTTTTCATGTGCTCATTGGTCATTTGTATATCTTCTTTGGAGAAATGCCTATTTAAATCCTTGGCCCATTTTTTTTTTTTTAATCCTCACCTGAGGATATTTTTTCTATTGATTTCTAGAGAGAGCTGAAGAGAGAGAGGTAAAGGGGGAGAGAGAGAAACATTAAAGTGAGAGAGTCACATGGATTGGTTGCCTCCCACATGCACCGCCCTTGGGGCTGGGGAATTGGCAACCTAGGTACATGCACTTGACCAGAAATCGAACCCATGACCCTTCATTCTGTGGGCTGACGCTCTTAACCTCTGAGCCAAACTAGCCAGGGCATAGTTGGATTTTGTTGTTGTGTAATTATAGGAATTGTTTGTATATTCTGGATATTAACCTTTTATCAGATATGATTTGCAAATATTTTTCTCTCATTATGTGGATTGCCTTTCTACTCTGCTGATGGAGTCCTTTGGTTCACAAAAGCTTTTAGTTTTGCTTTAATACAACTTATCTAGTATTTTCTCTTTTGTTGCCTGTGATTTTGGTGTCATAGCCAATAAGTTATTGACAAATCCATTAGCATGAAGCTTTTTCCCTATCTTTTAAGTTTCATTTTTAGATGTCTTCATTAATTTCTTGATAGCTTTGCTTATAACCTGTGTATTATTTGGTACATATAAATCCATGACTATTTTTAAAGTTATTCTTCTTTTCTGTATTGAATGCCTTTATTTTTCATTTTTTTAAAATATATTTTTATTGATTTCAGAGAGGAAGGGGTAGGGAGAGAGAGAGAGAGAAACATCAATGATGAGAGAGAATCATTGATTGGCTGCCTCCTGCACACCCCACACTGGGGGATCCAGCCCAAGCAACCTGGCTATGTGCCCTGACCTGGAATTGAACTGTGACCTCTTGGTTCATAGATCGACACTCAACCACTGAGCCACGCCAGCCGGGCTTGAATGCTTTTACAATTAACTTTATCCTAGATTGATATTAATATTGTTATTACTATTTTTTCTTTTTAAGGAAGAGTTTGTACCTGCTTTTATACCAATACACTTATTCTATATTCACTTTCCTTTTATAATTTTTTTAAATATATGTAGTGATTATTTTAGTATCTATATTTGTCTTTTAACTCATTGTATTGTCTCTGCTCTTTAGTAGTTAACATTTAACATAACAATTGTACCTATGTTTTTCTTAATTACAATACTTTAGAAGTTTTTTGCATATTTTCCTTTTGTGAATTTTATCAAATTGATATTTATTTCTATTTACTTCTTACGTGACCCTCATTACTTTGGAAGATGCACTGCACTATGCTGTAGACCAAGCATGTCAAACTCAAAGGCTAACACGGGCCAGATAAACAAGTTTTTTTTTTTTTTTAATTTTTTTAAATATATTTTATTGATTTTTTACAGAGAGGAAGGGAGAGAGACAGAGAGTTAGAAACATCGATGAGAGAGAAACATCGATCAGCTGCCTCCTGCACATCTCCCACCGGGGATGTGCCCGCAACCCAGGTACATGCCCTTGACCGGAATCGAACCTGGGACCCTTCAGTCCGCAGGTCGATGCTCTATCCACTGAGCCAAACCGGTTTCGGCAACAAGTTTTAAGTTTATGTGGGCAGCCCCCCAAAAAAACAAAAGCTTCCATTTTCATAGAAATGTAGGTTTATTCTGATAGGGACATGCTAATACAAAAGGCTGA